CAAGATTCTTCAGTTTATGGCCAACAGTGAGCAAAGAGGCTTGAACACCGATGCATCCATCAAACGCCTGGAGACACAGTTGGGCCAGCTTTCTACGAGAGTGGGGAACATAGAAGCTGACTCAAACAAGGGGAAGTTGCCCAGCCAGCCAAAGAAAGCCAAAGCCGTAACGGTGTTGAGAAGCGGGAAGGAGGTAGACAATCACGTGGAAATGCCCAAACTTGATGACCCTAAGCCGACCGACCAACCCAAGGGAGTAGAGAAGAGCCCGAAGAAGAATACAGAAGCTGAGCAAAAGAAGCAGACAGTCGTCCCAATGTTACACAAGTCACCAAACCCTTTCAAACCAAGCATACCTTTCCCGAGCCGACTACGAGATGAGAAGCAGGAGCAACAATTCCGAGACCTATACAACATGCTCTCAAAGGTCAACGTCAACCTGCCACTCCTAGACATGATCAAGAATATGCCCTCGTACGTGAAGTTCTTCAAGGACTTAGTGACGAAGAAGAGGAAATTTGGAGATGGGGATAAGGTAGTGGTCTACGAGGCTGCAAGTGCTATGCAGCATGATCTCCCGAAGAAAGAACGAGATCCCGGGGGCTTCGTGACTTAGATAGCTCTAGGAAAGGGAAAGGAGGCTTTAGGGATGCTAGACCTTGGAGCAGGAATCAACCTTATGCCCTTCTCTATCTTTCAGCGGCTCGGCCTAGGAGACTTGAGGCCAACCCGCATGTGCCTTCAGCTTGCAGACCGTTCTATCAGATACCCCAAAGGGGTAGTGGAAGATGTCCTTGTTCGTGTTCGGAAACTTATTGTCTCGGTGGATTTCGTAGTTCTAGATGTGGGGGACGTGCAGGAGAACGGAAAGGATCACACAGTTCTTCTCGGCAGACCGTTTATGGCCACCACCAACACCCTAATTGATGTCAAGAACAGGACATTGAATATGACGGTCCTGGGCGAGTCAGTATCCATCTCTGTTCGAGAAGCCATATCCTTCTCCTCAGTGAACTTTGTGGAGGAGTGTGCCTTTGTTGATGTGAGTGACCCATTCGTTGAGGAGACGGCTATACGAGACTTAGAAGACAAGATTAATGCCCGACCTTGACAATAAGGAGCCGACCATCGAGCTCTTCGAAGCAGCCGAGGAGCCCCACGTACGAACCTCACCCACATTAGAACTCAAGGAATTACCTCGTCACCTCAAATATGTATTCCTTGACGATGAGAAGCAAAAGCCGGTCATTATTTTTGTCGAGCTCAACCGAGTTGAGGAACAAGAGCTAATTGGTGTGTTGAAGAGGAATAAGAAGGCCATTGGGTGGAGCCTCGGGGTTATAAAAGGCATCAGCCCTTCCACATGCATGCACCGGATCATTTTGGAAGAGGGTGCCAAACCATTTCGGGACAGCCAGCAGCGGCTCAACCCGAACATGATGGAGGTGGTAAAGAAGGAGGTGCTGAAGCTCTACTCAGAAAGGCTCATTTATCCAGTGGCAGACAGCGAGTGGGTCAGCCCGATCCATGTGGCGCCGAAGAAAGGGGGTATCACGGTGATAGAGAATGAGAAGAAGAAAATGGTCCCCACCCGAATCACTACCGGGTGGAGAATGTGTAGACTATCGGCGCATCAATGCCGTGACAAAGAAGGATCACTTCCTGTTGCCCTTCATCGATCAGATTCTCGACCGTCTGTCGGGCCATCAGTTCTACTGCTTCCTAGACGGACTCTCCGGCTACTACCAAGTGGCCATAGCACCTGAGGACCAACCGAAAACAACCTTCACGTGCCCATTCGGCACCTTTGCCTTCAGGCGGATGCCATTCGGCCTATGCAATGCACCCGGGACCTTTCAAAGGTGCATGTTCTCTATTTTCTCCGACATGCTTGAGGATTGCCTACAGGTATTTATGGATGACTTCTCTATTTTTGGTACTTCATTTTCTGATTGTCTCCATAATTTATCTCGTGTGCTTGAAAGATGTATTGAATCTAATTTGACCTTGAGTTGGGAGAAGAGTCATTTTATAGTGGAGTTGTGTTAGGCCATGTGGTGTGTAATCGTGGTATTGAGGTTGATAAGGCAAAGATTGATGTGATTGAAAAATTACCCCCTCCTGTGAATGTGAAAGGAGTTAGAAGTTTTCTGGGTCATGCTGGTTTCTATAGGAGGTTTATAAAGGATTTTTCGAAAATTAGCCAGCCTTTGTGTCACTTTCTTGCCAATAATGTGCCTTTTGTGTTTGATGATGCATGTGTAGATGCCTTTGATAAGTTGAAAAATAAGCTTGTGACTGCACCTATTGTTATTCCTCCTGATTGGTCGTTGCCTTTTGAGATTATGTGTGATGCTTCAAACCTTGCTGTTGGAGCCGTCTTGGGTCAACGAGTTGATAAGTTACTTCTTGTAATTTATTATGCTAGTTTGACCTTAAACGGTGCCCAGTTGAACTACACTACCACCGAGAAAGAGTTGTTTGCAGTAATTTTTTCTCATGAAAAAATTAGATCTTACATTCTAGGGTCTAAAGTGATTGTTCATTCTGACCATGCTGTATTGAGGTATCTTTTGAGTAAGACTCAATCGAAACCTAGGCTCATTCGATGGATTTTACTCCTGCAAGAGTTTGATGTACAAATTCGGGATAAGAAAGGTTGTGAAAATGTGGTTGCTGATCATCTTTCTCGCATTGTCCCTACTGATCATTCACTTACTTTGCATGAGCATTTTGACATAAATGATAGCTTTCCATATGAGCATGTGAGTGAAGTGGTCAGTGTTCCTTGGTATGCAAATATTGTCAATTATTTATCGGATGGAGTCCTGTTGTTTAACCTCTCTTCCCAAGAGAGGAAGCATTTTGTGTTGATGTGCAGGAGTTACTTTTGGGATGACCCATTTCTTTTCAAGGTGGGAAAGGATGAGATCCTTCGGAGGTGTGTGCCCGAAGAGGAGCAACTGGATGTCCTTGCTTTTTGCCACGAACTTCAGTGTGGGGGACACATTGGAGGTCGAGAGACCGCCCTTAAGGTCCTCCAATCAGGTTTATTCTATCCGACCCTTTTTAAAGATGCTTATATTTATTGCAAATCTTGTGACCGTTGTCAAAAAATTGGGAATATTGGCCCAAGAAACGAGATGCCTCTTGTAAATAATGTTCAGGTGGAAATTTTTTATGTGTGGGGTATTGATTTTATGGGCCCGTTTCCCTAATCTTTTGGCTTTGAGTACATTCTTCTTGCCGTAGATTACGTGTCCGAGTGGGTTGAGGCTATCCCCACAAGAACATTTAATGCTAAAGTGGTCATCAAGTTTTTGCAGGGTCATGTGTTGAGCAGGTTTGGATTTCCACGAGCCATTGTGAGCGATGGAGGAAAACACTTTTCCAACCGGATATTTGAGAAGCTAATGAAGAAATACGGCATTTCACACAAGGTCGCCACCCCATACCATCCGCAAACTTCAGGCCAGGCAGAAACGAGCAACAAGCAGATCAAGACCATTCTTGAGAAGACGGTGAACTCGTCCAGGAAAGATTGGTCCAGTCGTCTTGATGATGCACTATGGGCCCAACGCACAGCTTACAAGGGAGTCTTGGGGATGAGCCCATTCCGACTCGTCTACGGGAAGGCATGCCACCTTCCGGTTGAGATCGAGCACAAAGCTTTTTGGGCAATTAAGCGGATGAATCTTGATCTTGATGCAGCCGGACGTGAGCGGATGTGGCAACTGTCAGAACTTGAGGAGTTGAAGAACGAGGCTTACGAGAACTCCAAAATCTACAAGGACAAGGTCAAAAAGCTTCACGACTCGACCATTTTCCGAAAGAACCTAGTGCCAGGTATGAAAGTCCTCTTATTCAATTCCCGACTTCGTCTCTTCCCAGGAAAGCTCAAATCACGGTAGAGCGGACCGTACCTTATCGATGAGGTGTTATCATTTGGAGTTGCCCGACTTCGAAATCCAGCAAATGGCGAGTTGTTTGTAGTGAATGGGCACAGAGTCAAGCCTTATTTTGAAGGAGAGCTCGGAAAGCATCATGTCGAGACTATCCGTCTCGACGACCGTATCCTTGATTCGGAATTGTGCCGAGCTCCCGGCTTAAAACCGAGCAATCTTTTGTACTTTCTATATATATATATATAAAAAAAAAAACGGGCGTTAGCGCCGCTAAGGCAGCTAAGGCAGGGTAGCGGCGCTAAGGAACCTTAGCGCCGGTAAGGTCTGGGACTGGTTAAAAAAAAAAAGAGAGAAGGGAAAATCGGGCCATTTCATCACATATCCTCACAACATACGCCTTCCCTCTCTCGAGCAAACAACCAGCGACCATCACTCACCACCGCCAGCCATCTAACTTCCGGCGACGTTTCTCTGGCACCTCAGGATCTCCGGCGACTCTCTCTCATCCTCAACTCGTGCAGTCCTCTTCACGACACCTCATCTTCGAACCCTAGCCGTGAAGTCTCTTCCCATCCCGACCAACCAGTTGTTCAACCTGCTCCGACGACGTCCTCCGACCACCGACGACGACGCAATTCCGTCCTCAACATCTCCTTTCACCTCAGCAAACACCTCAGTCAACATTCCCCACCAACCCTAGCTCGTGAAGAAATTGCTCGTTCCGGCCCGAATTCGCACCAAAAGGTACCGATAGCTTACTCTACTTGAAGTGAGTTGATGGTTGTGGCGTGAGGAGGCTCACTCCGAGCTCGAACCGTTCCAACTTGTCCACAACATCTTAAGCTCTAACCCCGCACGCCAAGTATTTGACTATTTGCCCGAACCAACATTCATGGTTAAAGGCGGAGCCGCGTCGAAGAAAAAAGCCCCCGCATCCGCAAAGGGCAAAGCGCCGGCATCCACGAGCGCTAACCCCGACCCGAAAGCCCCGTCCGTGTCCTTAGCCCAACATTATCGCATCCCCTTTGAGGTCGTGTCAATGGACGAGGTCACGGCATACCAAAGGCTTCACGCCAGGCCCGTTCTAGCACCACATTGTATCGACTGGAATACTTCAACGACGAGCTCGAGATCAGTGACGATATTCTCCGCTACATCAGGTTGCTTGATCTGGAGGAATTCGAGGATACGGAGGCATATGCTTACCGGTATTTGACTCTGGAGTTCTTCAGCACAGTCGCCAAGCACGAAAATGGGAAGTACCTCACGGCTCGACTTAAGGGCACGAAATATAAAATCACGACAAGGTGTTGCGCGACATCTACCACTTTGACCCCTCCATCGAGTCACGGCACAGCCCCATGGGATTCAAGGTTGATCCGCACTGGGCGGTCATCTCCCCCTGCGAGACATACAAGAAATTGGGGCCGTCTTCGGGTCTAATCAACGACTTGGCTCATGTGGTGATCCACAAGTACATATCTCAGATGATCTTCGGCAAGAAGGAGTTGAACAAGGTGAGCGAGCAGCAGGTGTTCATCTTGTGGTCGATTTCTCACGACAAGCCGGTAACCATGCTCCAATACTTAAAGGACACCCTGTTCGACATACGCAACGACACGAGGCGTGGTCCGAACATGGGCCATGTGGTGTCCAAGCTAGCAGACTACTTTGGGGTTGAGACCGACGAACCCCCAATCCGTGCCAAATCGATTTCACGGAAGGACCTCTAGCACGCCGGCTACCTGATCAACCCACACACTCTGAATCCCGTCACCAAGCGGGCCAGCTACAAGACCTATTACGAGGAAATGGGTATACCATTTCTGGACGACGAGTCCCAACCGAACGTCGGTACGTCAGCCGGTCCAGCTGACGAGAACCCTAATGATGAGGACGAGGACGAGCTCGACGCCAACAGACATCCAACCCACGAGACCATTCAGCCCCCTCCATTAATAGACGCGCACACTGGTGCGTCGTCCCAGTCAGCTGCTCCGGTTTGGTTCTCCGAGTATGAGGCTCGGAATGAGGCCCGTTGGAAGACTTTCACTCAGCAGAACGACGCGCGTTGGATGTCGTTCGTGGAGTCAAACAATGCACGATGGACGGAGCAGACCAAGAAGTGGAACGAGTTTGTTCAAAGCAATGAGGAGCACTGGACAGCCCATGACAACCGATGGGACACCTGGGCGGACCAGCAGTACCAGCAATGGAGCACTTGGGATACCCGTGTCAGCCAGTGGGATACCCAGCGGAGTGCGGGTAGCAGCCATCCCCCACCACCACCATCACCGGGCGCACAGTGACTTGTCACTGTTCTTTGTATGTTTTCTCTTTCTTTTTTCTCTTTTATTTTTGTATAGTTTATTTTATTCTTGAGTCGGTAAATTGTGTGGTCTAACTCTCTTGTACTTGGGGTTGACAATGGGGACATTGTCTAATCTTGAGTGTGGAGGAGTTTTACGTGTTTACGTGGCTCTGTGGTTGACCAGGTCTAGTTTTCATTTTTAGGATTGCTTTTGCTTTTGCTTTTCTCTTGTTTTATGGACCGGTATGCTTTGTAGGATTATTTGTTTGTGTTTTTCTGAGCTTGGACTTTGGTGTATTATAAGACTAGTTGATGATTGGTTGATTTGGTTAAGTAGTTGTGATGATGAGAATGAGTGGCATATCTTGATGAATTGGCTTGGTTGTTCTGTTGACAGTTATTTTACCTAGGTTTGAGCCATGTTCATTTCTTTTCTCGTGAGACATTGGTCAGAATCGTGGTCAGTTAGAATTTGCCTTGAGTCTGCTTAGAAATGAAGTAATTGGATCTGTGAACGTGAATATGATTGAGGCATTCTTTGTATTTCCCTTCCCATTTCTTTTTCTAAAATAATTTTCACTAGTCACCCCTTTTGAGTCTTACTGATTTTCTTTTTCTTATAAGCTCGTGACGATGATATTGTGGAGTTGCGTGTGTAGACTGAGAGGTGATTCGTGTTTTTATATATTAAAAAAAAAAAGAAGAAAAAAGAGAAACCGAATGGATTACGTTAAATGTCCAAAGGTTCTCACACACACACACACAAAAAAAAAGAAAGAAAGAAAGAAACCGAATGGATTACGTTAAATGTCCAAAGGTTCTCACAAAAAAAAATGGTGAATAAATTGGGTAGTAGGTTGATTTTGGGGTAGTGGGAGGAACCGGTTGGTGTCAGCAACCAGAGGAATTCATGTTTATGGTTATCTGATTGAGAAGAATTGATTTTTATTTAGCCAGTTAGCATATATTTATCCTACCCTATCCAAAGAGTCTACGTTACAACCCTTAAAGCCCTCTTGATTCATGGTTTCACGAATTTGATTGTTTTAGAGTAGGAGTTAGATGATAGGCAAATTTATGATTGATTCAACTGACGACCAATTTGAGTGTACCCAGTTGATATTTGAGAAAGAAATTGAGTGAGGCATATATGATACACTTCTGTACTCGAGAGCTTATGTCATTCAAAATAGCCAAGTTAATAGTTGAGGTGTGCCCTTGTGCTCATTTGAATTCTTCTTGACTTGATTGATTGGTTTGAGATTAGTCTTGCTTGAACCGGTGTCCTTGCTCATTTGTTTATTTTCCTTTTCTTTTCTTTTCTTTTCTTTTCTTTTTGTTCGGGACGAACAAAGGTCTTAGTGTGGAGGAGTTGTTTGCCCCATTTTCGTTGCTATTCTTTTTTATGTTTTGTGTGTTTTTTCCCCCGTTTTAGGTCATTTTTAAGGTGTTTCCGGTCCATCTAGTCATTTCTCGTGTTTTAGTGTTATTTATTCGTGTTTCGTGTTCTCGTTTTCTTTTCTCCTATTTTCTCTTACTTTTCGCGTCTTTTCCGATTTTGGTGATTTCAGGTTATGCCGGTTACCAAGTGTTCCATGCCCGTTATTGCGACCAAACATGCGGAGGTCGATTTTCCAGCTCAAGCAGTATCCGAGCGACGCTAGCCGAGCACGCGAGCCGAAGAAAAAAGCAACTTTTGGGCAATCCAGGACCTTAGCGCCGCTAAGGCTAAATGGCTAACGGCGCTACCCATTCATCCGAGGACTGGGGCGAACAGCTAAGGAACCTTAGCGGCGCTAAGGGACCTTAGCGAAGCTAAGGTCTGTTATTCAACAGACGCGATTTTGATTGGAATATGATATGTTTTCGAACCTAGGGCTAATGGTAGTCATTCCCAGACTTGTAATTTCGTTTTTCTTCGCTTCTAAAACATCTTTCACCTAGTTTTCATTGGATTTTGATCTTGGATTGTGAAAACACCAAGATTTGACTTGTGGATTTGGATTATTCATGGATTTTCGACATTGGTTTCATACTTAATCGTAAGCTTTCTTATTTCGTTTTATCTATGATTATGATGGCTTGGATTGATGTGTATGTTGGTGTTGAATTGATGATGAGTAGCTAAATTCGTTAACTAGGTTTAGGGGATAATTGTTCTGGTTCAATTTAATTTAAGTGAATGTTGATTGCTCGGTCTATTCGAGTTATGTTAAACCTAGGGTTGAATGATTGATCACCATTTTAATTCATTTAATCGATTCTTAGAACCGAAAGGAGAGGAATCGATCGATCTAGGCTCGTTTAGAATAGACTTGTTTAGAGACGTATTGTCTATGTGCTATTTGGCTCGATAATTGTTCGTTTATATTTATTCTCTTATTACGTGAGTTATTGAGAGTAAATCTCTGATGAGTAGTGTTTTGAGTCCTTTAGCCGAGTAGTTGATTGCCCGTTAAATGCATTGAGAACCGGAAACGATTGTCCCCGGCGCCCTAGTCCTTTTACAATTATTTGAATCTTGTTTGAAGTTGTGTGATCGAAATTGCTTGTTCGAGTATCATTAGTTGTTAATCGCATATTTGATAATCAAAACCAACCATTTGAATTAGAGAGTGTTTAGGATTATTTTATCTTTTCGTGTGATTGAATAACCGTGCAAATTAATCTGACCAACCTTCTTTGAGACACGACCCGGTGTTCGAATCTTTCGATTCTACTCCGGTAAAAATAACTACAACACCAATCTCCATACTGCCCTTCTTGAACATTATGATTTTCAATGTCCGTGATTCTGAGCTTGCAGTTTCCGTCTAAATGACCGATTTTGCCGCAATAATAGCAAAGATTCACTAACCTCTCATACTTGAAAGACACCCTCACCCTCTGATTAGCCAGTTTTATGTGTGTACATCTAGGGATTGGTTCCTTCAAATCAATAACTGCAAGTAGTCTCATGTGCCTTCCAGCAGAGGTACCAGATTGATTAATTACGACATTCCGGATTCTTTGAAACACATTTCCCACCTTTAATCCCACATCAGTACATAGCCAGTTCAATGGAATGTTATGCACCTGAACCCATAGCACTACCTCATCAAAACAACTATGGTTGATGTTCAGTCCTTCTCTCCATTCCTTCAAAATTAGGTACTGGTTCTCAAACAGCCAAGTGTTCCCTGCTGCTACTTTCTGAAGATCCTCTTTAGATCAAAATACAAATTGAAAAAAATTCGATCCTAATTCACGAACTTCCATAGCCTGTTGAATCTTCCATATTGTTGTCATTGTTCTCTTCACTCCCACCATCGCAGCTTTCCTATCCCCTATTATCTTCCCGAAGAGACTTCGACTGACATCCTCTTCTCTCGCTTTAATGTCTTCATTTCCGATCTCGATATCTCCTGCATCCTTATTAGATAAAGAGAAGTTATCAAATTTCTTATAAAATTCCTCATTAGCTTGCTCTGCTTCCGATATCAACATTCTGAAGGGCTCTATAAACCCTACTTTCGATCTAACACCCGAGTAGTAAAGGACAGATAGAATAAATAGGAGTTTGGAATTTATGTTTACTGAAAACCAAACTGATTGAGGCCTTCAACGAAGGAATGAAGCCTCACCAAGGTAATGAAAGGATCTCACATGAGGGAATTTTTCGCTCTCACAGGAGCGAATACTTATAAAATAGTAATAAAACATATGAGTGTAACAATACAAAAATATATTTATTAAAAAATAGCATATTTTTTCAAGAAGTAAAATAATTTTATTATTATCATAAACTAAAAAAAAATTAATATAAATATTTTTTTCTATAAAATAGTGATAAAATAATAAAGAATGATAATGTCATTCTATTCAGGTCTTATTGTTTCTGCATATCAAACACATCAATGAAAAAACTTATTTCATTTTTTTCCCATATTGATTTCATTTTTTAACTCATTCAATGTCTATCAAATTTCTATAGGGAACTTTATCGGGAAAATAAGATGGCTATAATATATAATACCGAGGCCTGTGAGAACACAATTCCCTTAAAACATATTTGCCCCGTATGAGCGTCTGTTTCCCAGGATACAATGGAAAAACTAAAACAAATTCGGTGAACTGGAATTATGTCTGGACCAAAACACTTAAAGAAAAATGTGGGGAAAATGCTTTAGGAATATAATGTATTTCTTTCCTTGGTGTGTCTTTCTCTTACAACCATACCACATATTTATATATGCACCAAAACTAAGAGTAATAAATCTCTTATGTTTCGTCATTTCATTCAAGTTTAACATTAAGTTGTAAGTTTAAAGAATCAATTGTAATGTTATAACTCATAAGAATTAATTCAACCAATACGTTTTGATTTCATTCACACAAATGTTTCCAACAATTTCATTCTATTATACCAATAATGTCATAAGTCAGAAAACTATACATTTGTTTATAGGTACAGATATTTGCGATGATAACTAAATTAATCACAAAGGAAAACAATTCTAGCAAATTAACTAAATAATAGCAGGAATTGAATGAAAATTAAGGATTCCTGCTGGAATATACCATCGCTAACCGATGCCAACCCAACACTCATTGGCCATTGCCGTTTTATTAACATCATTTCCAGCAAGCAAAATTGTTAAGTCGATCAGCGAAATAAAAACTTTACCAATTCCTTATTCATTAAAAATATTTAAAATTATGCCGTACCCCGTATTATCCATTCAAACAAACTAGTGTATACCCCGTGCGATGCACAGAAATAATATTAAATTTACAATATTATAAATAGACCTCGAGTTTGAGTTACTTAATGACGGAAGTGGAAATTAAAATTAATCCTATTTAAAAAGAGGAAGCAAAAAAAAAATTATAAATTAAAGAAGAGGATAAACAATACTTAATAATTATAAATTAAAGATTTGGGTCAAACAATGTAAAATTATTTTGTATAAGAGAATATAAAAAAATTTGATTACACACAATTTCAAAATTATTATTATACTTTTTTGTATGGTTAACTTAAAATATTTGTAAAATTATTAGTAATTAGACCGCTGAAAATTAGCTTTGAATTTTCAATAGTAATTATGAATTGGTTTCTATTTTATTTTATTTTTTCTTTTTAAAGAGAATGGATTTCTAGTAGTAATTATGAATTGGTTTCTATTTTAGTTTATCTTTATAAATCTGTATAGATAAGGGATGAGATTTTTTAAACACGTGAGATCGTATGCAATGAGATTTTGCAACAGAAGAGATAAGCGTGTAGATTTATACTAAAAATAGGAAAAAGAAAAATAAATATTTATTGTCAAGCAACGGTTTTGATAAACTAAAAAAAATGAGCCGGTTTTTTTGTCTATTCAGATTTGTCCAACAATTACTATATTAGGATATATTTAATGATTTTGGCGGGAAAAAGTTTCTAAATTTGTAAAAAGGTAATTCTTTTATATAATGATAGATATTCTATTTTCCTATTTATCCGGTTAACTTTGCATGTATGTATGTTATAATCCAAAATTTTAACTCAATAGCACATATATTTATGTTCATATTAGCTGTCACCATAATTATCCCTCTCCCTCTCTCTTCAGTAAAAGACTCACCCATATTTCTCATTTTTCAATACAACCCTTCCTCCGCGTATAAAAACCCTAAATCCTCAAGAATAAAATTATAATAAATCCACAATAAATAAATTAAATTTTCATAATTCCTCAATCTCGATGCATAATCCGCTCATCGGAGATTGCATCGGACTCGAGAGCTGCGGCGACACCGCTCCCGACTTCGACCCGCTGCCTCCGCCGCGCAGCCGGGCCAGCCGCCGCACGAAGGCCGCGGCGGCGGCGGCGGCGATGGAGCATCCGCCGCCGATTCCTTTCCTTGCGCCGCAAATGCCGTGTGTTATGACGAGGCACTACACCGGCGACGGGCGGTTGATCATAAAGGAGGAAATAAAAAGGAATCACAAGTATTTCGAGGTCTGCAGGTCCAATGGGCGCCTCGTATTAAATCTGGTACCCATCGATTACGTCATCGATGAGGACACGATGGCCGATGATCGGGTTATTGCTCATCGCTGCTACGCCTATAACGGTGGTGTGGCGGCGAACACCTGCGGCGGCTACGCGCCGGCGACGGCGGTGGCGTTTAGGCCGCCGGTTCAAACGTGAATGGGGATGTAAAATTTTAGTCATTTGTTACTTGTTACAATTCCTTTGTTCTTTTATTGTTTTCAGTCATTTTATTGTTCTTTTATTGTTTTAGTTTTTTGCCCATATATCTATCGGGATATGGGTCTGTTGTTTTGGTTCGCTGTTCCATTTTGTTTCTGTTGTTTTTTTCCCCAAATTTTATTGACCAAACCACCTCGATGAACCGGTGTTACTTTATTAAAATAATATAAATAATATATTAAACAAATTTATTTTATATTAAAATAGATTAAAAATCAAATAAGCGGAACGGTGATCAGCAATGACTGGTTTTCAATGTTTCGAACTGCTCTGCTTTCAAGTAAAATAGGGTATCCAGCATAAAACCCAAAATTGGTTAGGCATGTTTGATTAATTTGGGAATGTATTTTTGAGGAAATAAGTTTCGCACATTTATTATGAATCTCGCATACAGTGAATCGGTGTAAAGAGATACACGTGAATGATAAAACATAAACAAGTACAGAGCCCGTGCGATGTATAAAGATGCACAATTTTAAGGCTATTTATCCAGATTTATAAAATTTTAAGGCTATTTATCCAAGCTTATAATTATATACATGAATACAGAAAAAAATGTACGTGATATATATAGTACGTGACCCGTGCGAAGCACGGATTATAATTATTAAGAGAATATTATATTATAAGATGCAATATTCAATAAAAGTTTATAATACGCAAGAAAATTGTATAATGTTCAATAAAAGTTTTATAATATTCAAGTGGAGTCTTAAAGTCTCTTGTACATTAAGACTAATGACAAAATAATATTTTAATCAATGAGTTTTCTTTCCTTGTAGCCAAATTCTGAATGTGATTTGAGGAGTACAACAAATCGATATATAGCTGACTTGCTTTTTTCATTGTAGTTTTTTTTCTTTTTTTTTATAATGAATTTACAGATATTCTAAAATATAGCAAAAATTAATTTTTTTTATTACAATTAGGAATTTTACTAAATATAAACACTCAATCTATGATGTTAATCAACGTTTAAGTCTAAAAAATTAGGAATTTTTACCTCCTTTAATCAACGTTTAAGTCTAAAAAACAATAGAGTTATTATAAGTTTTTTCTACATCTTTTAAAACATTAAATATGAGCATGTTAGGGCTAGCTTGTAAAATAATTAATATATTATCTCACTAAAACATTTATACTAATAAAAATTTAATTTTAGCATATAAATTTATTTCTTGATATAAGAGAAAGTAACAATTTTACTTATTGTTGTTCACCATATAATATTTAATTATTATTTTATTATATAATAAAAAAGAAATATTGTTAAATAGTGTAGTAGAATTGTTATAAAATTATATGATTTTTTTTTT